TCCTTCCTTCCTTCCTTCCTTCCTTCCTTCCTTCCTTCCTTCCTTCCCATTTCCCAAAACCCTATTTTTATTCTGCCTTTACCTTCCCAAACTCGGTGAGCCAGTTCTTGAAACCTCTAAACTCACTTGGCTTTCAAGTATGAGAAACACGATCAGGCACAGAAAAATGTTTGCATCAATATTCAAAACACCAAAGGAACTTGGGACATATAGTTTTTGAAGGGAAAAATTATCCTCAGGTCCTGCTTTGTTTTCAAAGGTCGAAGGTAAAATTTAGTCAATCTCCAAGTTTAACCCAAGTTAACTTTGGGTTGCTTGTTTGTCTCTATAATTAAGCAAAGCACACATCAATTTATGCTTAATGTTTGCTTGTTCTGTTTTGTGGAAATATGCCTTCAGGCTCAAGTTTTTGATCCAAAATGAATGAAGCTGTCAAGAAAACAACAAATCTCATGCTGATAGGAAGGGAATTGTTGTTTACCGCCCAGAATCCTTCCTCTCACCTTCTACTATAGATTATTGCCTTTGTACATGTTTGCAAGGCTTCTGTTGAATTTCAAGCAGTCCCTTTGTCTACAACGGATGCATCTGGAACAGATAAAATATTTGGTTGATATACAGCATGCTTTGTCCTGCATTATTTGAATAAAAGGGATTGAATAATGAAATAGGGAGATTGGTAGAAATCTGTTCTTGTTCTTTTAATAGGATGCTATTTTAATACTGAGATATAAATATTAATATGGAGAGCTGGCTGCACTGGCATTACTAGGTTCGCAACCAGAACGACTCAAAAGATGGTACCGGGTTCTTCCTTCCTTTTAAGACCCCCCCCTCCCCTAACAATGGCCTTTCTGCCAATCTGATATCAGCCGTGGAGTTCCAACAATATTGTTCTTCCACCTTGTGGTGACACAGCTGGAGCTCCAAGGCTTTGGCAATGGGAAAGTTTCCCATTTGCTGGGACTCTGGTCTTATCTTGTCTCCTGCTACATGAGCTGGAGTTTTCAGCTGTATTGCATGGGCAACTCTTT